CAAAACAGAGAAGCACTTCCCGTTTGATTGATATTTCATTTGCTCTTCGTCCACTTCAGAGGAAGGGATGATATCACTCCCATAGCAGAACCCTTGAACGATATCTTCTTTTGAAATTTCTGTCTCATCGTCATCATTCAAGCAATGAACGGTTTCTTTTTTGTATATCTTCTTTCTTGTGGGTTCTTGCATCCACAACTGTCCAAGATTTTTTAACTCTCTCCTGTACAATCAATTTATAATCTTTATGGACAAATTAGAGCCAATGGTTAGTTGACAGGGCCAGGGTATGGGACGCCTCTCAATTTTCTTAAATACACACAATTGTCTCAGACTCTTACCGAAGGAATAAATTTCCTCCAGCCCTTCTTCACTTTCTAAAGTCATTATTTTTTTCACCATCTGAATACCTTCTTTTTGCTGCTCAATAATTCCCTCCAAAAAAAAATAATAATTCCCTCCGGAGGAAATGAGGATCTATGACAAGGTGAGGCAAAGTCATCATCTCCTCTGTCCCCTGTTCCATCTTCCTTGCCAATGGCAAAAGGCAGGAAGAACTGCAGGGAAATGCCAGATCTTTTCAAGTTCTCGATGACCGTCTCCAGTTGATCTTTGCTGAACGAGCTGCTGAGGTTCAGTGAAGACTTCTCAACTTCTTTCCAACTGTTTCTTGCTGAATCAAATCCATGCACATGCTGAGTGCATCCACGAAGCCAGCATGTTGAGAACCTGGCTGGATTTTGTTTTCAGGGTCATCCGGCAAGTCAAAATCTGGTAGCGTGAGATGTCTGTGCACTGTGATGTTCTGATACTGATCTTCCCTGGCAAGGGCATTCTCGGTGCCATCTGTCCTGAAAAGGACTAATGCGACTTCATCCTTGCTCTCTGCAAATACCTGTCGCTGGACAAACATGGTTATTACCTTCTTTACTAGTTCAAATGAGGACTCCTTACCCAAAAAGGGATCATTCATGGCGGAGCTCACCTCCATACCCAGAACAACAGCTGCCTTATTCCCTGACCAGCCATGCTGCTGTCCACCAGCACCCCGCTCTCTGCCTCCGAAAATTAAGTTTTTTTTTAAGTAGACTTTTTTATTTTTTTGGTTTTGCCCAGAATCAAACCCTGGCCAGCTGCCTGCAACGTAAGTGTCCTCCCTGCTGTGCTATCTGTCCAGTCTCAAAATTTTGAAGGATATTTTTCTTCACAATAACTAGATCCTCGCAAAATACACAAGGAAATAAACCACCATGGGGGAGAATCAGCAGAAATAGGAACTGATTTAGACCCTCAGGAACTTATGCCGACCAGATGCACAATAAAAGTGTGGCCCTCCAGGAGTACTGGTCCATGGATGGGAGCTTGCCACATGCAGAAGAGCCGTGCAGGGCAGTTAGGATAAAGAAGTAAGCACTACGACAATGCTAGTTAGAAATGAGCACTGAGGACACGACCTGAGTGCTGAAAACAGGGAAAGCGACAAACATGATAATCCTTCAGTACCTGTATTACAAACCATAATGCCCAGCAGGAAAGAGAGAGAGCAAGAGAAAGAAAAAAACGTGTCTGCCATCCTCAAAACAGAAATCCAAATGGCCAAAAGGCACATGAAAAAATGCTCCACATCACTACTCATCAGGAGATGCAAATCAAAACAACAATGAGATATCATCTCACACCCCAGAGACTGGCCCGCATCCAAAAGAACAAAAGCAACTGGTGCTGGAGTGGATCTGAGGGAAAAGGGACGTTCTTTCACTGTTGGTGGGAATGCCGACTGGTCCAGCCTTTTCGGAAAACAATATGGACAATCCTTCAAAAACTAGAAGTTGAGCTTCGATATGACCTCGCAATACCACTCCTGGGAATATGTCCGGAGGGTGCAAAAAAGCACAGTAGAAATGACATCTGTACCTATATGTTCATTGCAGCACTGTTCACAATAGCCAAAATCTGGAAACAACCTGAATGCCCGAGAACAGACGACTGGTTAAAGAAACTTTGGTACTTCTACACAATGGAGTACTATGCAGCTGTTTAGGAGAGATGAAGTCATGAAATGTGCTTATAAGTGGATAGACATGGAGAGTATCATGCGATGTGAAATGAGTCAGAAAGAGGGGGACAGACATAGAAGGACCGCACTCGTTTGTGGAGTATAAAATAACATAACACAAGACTGACACCGCACTCATTTGTGGAGTATCAACATAACACAAGACCGACACCTAAGGATAGTAGACGTAAGGGACAGGAAGATTGCTCCCTAGCTGGAAGCCGGCCTCATGAGCAAAGGGGGGAAGGCAGCTGGAATAGAGAAGGGATCACTAAGAAAACGATGGTTGGAGGAACCGGTCGGGATGGGAGATGTGTGCTGAAAGTGGATAAAGGACCAAACATGATAACCTCTCAGTGTCTGTATTGCAAACCATAAGAAGTAGAGAGAGAGTATGGGGAATCCTGCCTGCCATAGAGGCAGGGGGAGGGTGGGGAAGGGGGCTATACTGGGGTTATTGGTGGTGGGGAACGTGCACTGGTGGAGGGATGGGTGTTTGATCATTGTGTGATTGTAACTCAAACATGAAAGCTTGTAACTGTAGCTCACGATGAATCAATACAATTTTTTAAAAAAGTGTCTGCCATTGGGGCTGGAGCAATAGCACAGCCGGGAGGGCGTTTGCCTTGCACGCAGCCAACCCAGGTTCGAATCCCAGCATCCCATATGGTCCCCTGAGCACCGCCAGGGGTGATTCCTGAGTGCAGAGCCAGGAGTAACCCTTGAGCATCGCCGGGCGTGACCCAAAAAAATAAAGTGTCTGCCATCTTAGAGGCAGGCTGGGGCAGATGGGGAGGATGAGGTTGTGGCGGGGGAGAAACTCGGGACATTGGTGGTGGGAAATGTACACTGGTGAAGGACTGGAATCCAATCATGAAGAACTTTATAACTGTGTATCTCACGGTTACTCAATAAAAATCATATATCATATTTTAAAATAAAAAACAAAAGGCAACCCTGGTGGAGGGAAGTTGACACCGGTCGTGGGATTGGTACTGCAATATTGGATGTCAGAAACTCAGCTACAAATAATTTTGCCAATCACGGTGTTTTAATTTTTTAATGCGTTGCTTGAAAAGAAAGCAAAATAATTTGGGGGGAGAGAAAGGTGGCCCAAAGGAGATAGTTAAAGAGATAAAAGCCAGGCTTAGTTGTTCCTTCAAGAGGTGTAGGAGCGGGCACTGGTGGAGGGATGGGCACTTGATCATTGTATAACTGAAACCCAAGCACAAAATTTGTAAGCCTATAACTGTACCTCATGGTGTTTCACTACTAAAAAAAGAGAAAAAAATTTTAAAAAATAAATAAAAATATCCGCCCCTCTCGGAGAGCCCGGCAAGCTACCGAGAGTATTCGATATGCCAGACACAGTAACAACAAAGTCTCCAATGGAGACGTTACTGGGCCCGCTCGAGCAAATCGATGATCAACGGGAGGGCCCTTTGAAAAAAAATAAATAAATCACAGTGCTAACGTCTCTGCTACCTCTGTCCACATGATGGCGCTGTAGGCACACAGAAACATCGTGCTCATCGGTACTGTTACCTGAAATTTCACCTTTAAAGAGAGACCTATGGGGACCAGAATGATAGTACGTACAGCAGGTAGGACACTTTCCTTGCACGTGGCCGACCTGGCTTTGATCCCTGGCATTTCATATAGTCCCCTGAGCACCGCCAGGAATAATCCCTGATCAAGGAATAAACCCAGGAATAAGCCCACAGCCCGGCTGGGTGTGACCCAAAGCCAAATAAATAAAGACCATTATCAACAGAAAGGAGCTGGTGGCCTGCGGGGTGGGACCTGATAGGGAGGGTACTCGAGGGTACTCACATGATTAGTGTGGTGCTGGAAATAGGTGCATATGAAATCATCAAGTATTGTAAATCACAGTACCTCAATAAGGATGAAGAATTGTATCTATATAAAATATATATAAAATAAAATTTTTAAATAGTCCTTTATTACAGTTTTCTATTTCCAAGATTCTCAAAAGTGACGGTAGCCACTTGTAACTCTCCTTGTACGTGTAAGTTAATTAAAGTAAAATACGTTTAAAGATTTACAAAGATACTGTGAGTGAGAGATTATAAGAGCTCCATCCTGCCAGTGCTGTCCCCCACTGCTCAGAAGTGGAACAAGTCTGGGGCCAGAGCCTTAGTACAGCTGGTAGGGTGCTTGCCTTGCAGATGGCCAGCCCAGTCCTATCCCATATCATCCCACGCACTGCCAAGAGCGATTCCTGAATGCAGAGTAGGAGTGGGTCTTCAGCATCGATGGGTGTCGCCCAAAAACAAAAAATCAAAGAGGTGGCACATGTCAGCCACACCAGAAAGTTCTGTGGAGCCATTACTAGTAATCTGTCGTGTCTGTCTTCGTTGTTTGTTTTGGGGACCACACCCTGTGGTGTTCAGAGCTTATTCCTGGCTCTGCACTCCAGAGTCATTCCTAGTGGTGCTCAGGGGACCGTATGGGATGCCGGGGATTGAACCTAGGTCAGCTGCAAGCAAGGCAGACACTCTCCCAGCTTTACTATTGCTCCAGTCCCTCTGTGAGTTTCTCTAAAGAGCACTGAGGGAGAGATTTTGATGACAGAGAAGATAAAAGCAACTGACTGGGACATTCTACTGTCCTATTGCTGTGTCTTTAAAGGGTTTCTGACCCCTTCAGACTTTGCTGGGCTCTTCAGACGGGACAGCCTGTGCCATGAATTTTAGGTGATCTCAGCCTACCTCCGCAGGCCAGTCTGGGAGCAGTTACCCCGGAGTCAACTTGAGTGTGGTATCCAAGAGAAAGGAGGTACACACGGCTCCTGACGTCAGCCCATTGAGGAATGTTGTCACCGAGACCGACGTCAGCTTCCCACCCTTGCTGTATCCTTGATCATCTCTTGATAAATAGATACATCAGTCTGATTAAAACTTAATTTTTTTTTCCTCTGCAGACCTATCCCCCTTTTGACTACTGTTGTGATCAATAGCCAAGTTGACAAAATTGAAGGAAGGAAAATATTCGTTTCCTGCACTGTGCACAGTGCTGATGAGAAGACCCTCTACACAGAGGCAACAAGTAAGATGCTGCCACTGGTCCAGGTTTCGTTTAGGTTCTTGGAAGTTTGGCTTCTTTGGGTATTTTTGGGGTTTCGGTATGGGGCGTTATGTTTCGTGTTCAGCAGGGGCACGTGCTATGGAGTCTGTTAGGTTCTTAGCATCTAGATAGAACACAGAGTTGAATGAGACTCGCGGGAGAGGAGAGCAGAGCCAGAAGTGGCAGGTGTCTCGTACCCTGTGTGAGCGGGCTGACCGAAGCAGCTGGAGGCCCCGGCATATACTTCAGAGTCTTTTAATGTGGCCTGACAGAGGTGTCAGGATTCTGTGGGTGGCCGGGACCCTCAGTGGGGCTCCACTATCCCTTCAGGTGGCAGGGCCCCAAAGAGGGGCCGTGGACACCTGTTGCTGTCCCTTCTGGCTGGTGACTGCTCAGCTCCGGGACTGAAGACTCAAGCTCACCTTTGGTCTTTTTCCCATTCTTGTTCTCCTTGAACCTGACAGTATTTGTTTTTGCTGATACCTGTGAGATTTCCAGTCAGACACCCTTAAGACCTTATCCAAAAAAGATATTAAAATGCATGCTCAATTAAAATGCATACAGTTGCTCGAGGGCTCCAGCAATTGTGCAACTCATGCTTCGTTATTTGAACAAGTAAACAAAAAGTCTCGGCCAGTAGGATTAGAGCCTTATCAGCAGACAGTATCATAAGTGTCATAAGAAGCATTGCAGGTGCCATATAAAGAAGTGTGAGCCACACCCAGGGGTACTCGGGGCTTACGTGTGGGTCTGTGCACAGGGATCACTCCTGGAGAATTCAGGGGACCATATGGGATGCCGGGGATCAAACCTGGCTCAGCCGCACGCAAGGCAAGTGCCCTGTCTGCTGTGCTATCACTCTGGCCCTCCAAAAAAGGAAAAACTTTGCCTGCGTTATGGAGCCGTTTCATTGGCATGTGGATGCCTCGGCACACGACCGTGGGTCACCACATTGGACAAATGGCACCAACAGGAAGGGTTATAGTTGCCAAAATTTTATATTACACTTTAGCTCCACAAGGCTGGTGAGGGACACAGAGCACAACTCTGGTGTCAGCGTGTCCATAGAGAGCCAGGGGAGACCACAGATGCAGGAGGGAGGGTGATGGACAGAACCAACGGGTTCTCCTCTCCTCTCCTCTCCTCTCCTCTCCTCTCCTCTCCTCTCCTCTCCTCTCCTCTCCTCTCCTCTCCTCCCCTCTCCTCCCCTCTCCTCCCCTCTCCTCCCCTCCCCTCTCCTCCCCTCTCCTCCCCTCCCCTCCCCTCCCCTCTCCTCTCCTCTCCTCCCCTCCCCTCCCCTCCCCTCCCCTCCCCTCCCCTCCCCTCCCCTCCCCTCCTCTCCTCTCCTCTCCTCTCCTCTCCTCTCCTCTCCTCTCCTCTCCTCTCCTCTCCTCTCCTCTCCTCTCCTCTCTCCACATTTTCTTCCTCTTTCGCTTTCACCCATCCTTCCCTAACTGATTCCATTTGGGGAAGGCGGACGTGGTAGGCTGGGGGCTGAGAGGCTGCCATAGAGACAGGGACTTTGGGGCCTGGTCATGTCCTCGCCTGGGTCCGACAGCAGAGGAAGGAGACCGCTGCGCTGGTGTGGCCCAGCGCGGAGAAGCAGCATCAGTAAGAGAACGGGGGTGGGAGGATGGGGACAGGGCTGGTGCCAGGGCAGGGGGAAGGGGATGAAAGCCAGGTTGTCATCAGAGAAGGACATCCCAGGTATGGAAAAAGGAAGCCGGTGGGAACCCAGAGAGCTCTGGCGCTCACAGAGAACATTCTAACAAGTGACACTGCATTGTCATCTGCAAGTTTAGATCGGCTTGGGAGAAAGTCCTTCCTTGTATCTCGTAGCAGCTCCGCAGTCGTTCTGTGAGCTTGAAATTATTTCAGATGAAAAAAGTCAGCAGCTAGAGGTGGTGGGATTGGTGTTTGAATATTGAATGCTTGTAACAAATCATCGTGAACAACACTGTAATCAACAGTGTTTGAATCAAGTGTGTGTGTGTGGGGGGGGATTTTTTAAAAGAAAAATATCTATCCTGAACAGGAGAGGAAGCACAGGGGATAAAGCACTTGCATCGCACAGGGCCAACCCTGTTCAATCCTTAGAACCACAGAGGATCCACTGAGCATTGCCAGGGGTGAGCCCTGAATGCAGAACCACCTTGATACCACCCAGTGTGGCCCAACCCCCACCCCTAAATTAATAGTAATGAAAGACAGGGAGGGAAAATATTCATACTTGCATTGCATCGACATTGCAGTGCTGCCTGAGAAAGGGATGTGAACGGTAGGGAACACCCTCGCTGAGGCTTGAGAACCAGCCCTGGGAGCTGATCACAAGGAGAGGAACTAGGTTTGTGGTCCTAGAGCTCATGTTCTTTAAGAAATTTGGGGAGGGGCCAGAGTGATAGCACAGCGGGTAGGGCGTTTGCCTTGCACACAGCCCGACCTGGGTTCAATCCCCGGCATCCCATCTGGTCCCCCAAGCACCACCAGGAATAATTCCTGAGTGCAGAGCCCCAGGAATAACCCCTGAGCATCGCTGGGTGTGACCCAAAAAGCAAAAAAAAAAAAAAAAGAAAGAAAGAAATTTGGAGCAAAGAAACCAAATTGTGTTCAAAGGTAAATCCCTTTTGTTTGCTTGTTTGGGGTCCGTACCCGGGCGGTGCTCAGGGCTCTGCACTCAGGCAGCACTCGCTCTGTGCTCAGGGAGCACTCCTGGCAGTACTCAGGGGACCGCGTGGGATTGAACCTGGGTCAGCCATCTGCAAGAGAAGCGCCCCGCCCTTGCATTTGAAATATAAGAAGAAATCGCAGCACACGATGACTGTCTCGAGGCTAGGTACCGTCCCCTGAGCTCTCTGAGGGCCATTCTCCAGAGGTCTTCCCCTCGAAGTGCTCTCAGCTGAGCACTCCTGCTTCAAAGCACCTTTGCTAGTGAGGGGCCCTTGGAGCCTCATCTTCTGGAACTACTTGTTCCAGATTTTGAGAGTTAACTCAGGTGTCAAGTTAGGGTTGTGTATCTCAGTTGTAATGTGACAATAAGGCACTTTCTCCCCAGTAACAGGAAGCTCGGTTTTTTAACAGTAATTTAGAGTTGATTTACAAAGTTATTGAGAGTTGAGCTGTAGGCACATAATAAATTTCAATACCACCAGTACCAACTTCCTTCATATTTCATGTCCCCCCAACCCCATGACAGGTACATTTCAGGGTTCTAGGGATTGCACTTAGATGTCATGTTTTCAGTGTTGTTGGCAGTGACAGGCAGTTCTTATTCACCAGCTGGGCATCTGAGAAGTCAGTTCTGACACCGTCAACCCAGAGGTAATTCTACAGGTCATGCACTCAGCGCCCAAGAATGTCCTATGCTCAGGCCTGTTGTCTGTACTTATGATGCCTGGGTGTGAATCTGAGGGCCCTGGGACATCTCCCCTGGCTCAGTTAATGTGCTAGACTGGCTCACACTGGAAGGTGCTAGAACTCAAGAAGCCTGTTTACTTCCTAGATCACTGAGCTCTTCATGTTCCCCCAGACCCTGCTTGCCTGCAGTTCAGCTGCCCGGAGCCCACCCTGGGCTGTGGTGAAGGTTCTGCTCCAGAGGTGTGAATGGTTGACTGGGACCACTGGTTATCAGTTCCACTTCTATCCTCCTTCCTCTCCCCAGACATCGAGGAGGTGGAACTGGGAATTCCAGCCCTCTAGTCCTGTTTGGAATCCCATAGTTGGTTTTCTTGGCAACTATCCCTCCACCTTAGATCCTTCCTCAGAAGTCACTGTGTGACTGGCGCAGTGGGTTTGCCTTCCCTTCAGATGGTGCCTCTGTTAGGATGGGCTGCTGGGAGCCTCCTTGTTCGTGTCTCCTTCGGGTTCACATGGGTGACAGATTGGTATATAATTAGGAAAAGAATTTCTGGGTCAAAGCTAAAAAGATAGCACAGGGCTCAAGACACTTATCTTACATGTGACCGGTCCCTGGTTTGATCCCCAACGCCACATAAGATACCCCGAGTACTGCCAGGTGTGATCACTGAGCACAGAGCCAGGAATCACCCTAAGCATAGTAAGATACCCTCCCTCACAAAAAAGGAGAGAGGAACTTGATTGTGAGCTCTGAGGCTGTCCAGCCCTGCAGAGGAGCACCAGGGGTGCTGGGAATTGAACCTGTGTCAGTCATGTTGGCTACATGCAAGGCGAACGCCCTACCCGCTGTGCTATCAGTGCTAGCAGTGTTCTCATAGCAGTGCCAGATTACAGCCCCATCAGCCTTCCTAGGCTTCCCCCCATTCCGCTCTTCTTAGTGATAGATAATGCCCGACTCCCCGATGTTTGCCTAGAGATGGTTGTAAGATGGCATCTTTTGCACTCCCTGATCTCTTATGCATTGGACATATCTTCATATATTTATTGACTGTATTTGTTTCCATTCTCTTAAGTTCTTGTTTGTCCATGCTGTGATATTTTCTCATTTTTCACACTGACTTATAAGGTGTTTATCTCTCTCAAACATATGTTCTTTATATATTCTATACTAAACTCTTGTTGTTGTTTTTTATAGCTCCTTGTACTATGTACATTGGTTTTTGCTTTAAGTTTATTTTTTTTTCTTTTTGGGTCACACCCGGCGATGCTCAGGGGTTACTCCTGGCTCATGCACTCAGGAATCACTCCTGGCGGTGCTCAGGGGACCATATGGGGTGCTGGGAATCGAACCTGTGTCGGTCATGTTGGCTGCGTGCAAGGCGAACGCCCTACCCGCTGTGCTATCACTCCAGCCCCATATTTTTTAATTAATTTATTTTTTTAATTGAATCACAGTCAGACACACAGTTACAAAGTTGTTCGTGATTGGGTTTCAAAAGTCATACGATGTTCCAACATCTGTCCCTTCACCAGTCCATCACCAGTGTCCCACCAGTTCCCCTCCTGACTCCTTCCTGCCCCCTCTTCTTTTGGCTTCCAACACAGATCCTGAAAGGTTATCAGGTACATCCCTTTACCTACTTTCAACACTCAATTCCGGTCCAAGTGATCATTTCCGGCTTTAAGTTATTTTTATGAATATGAGCTTTTCATGTTAAGTAGTGACACTTGTTAAACTTTTTCACTTAATGGGTAGTGCCTTTTTTTGTATCTTACAAAACGTGTTTCTCCCGTCATCTTTCTGTGGAATGATGGCTAAAGGAAACAGAAAGAAGATCAAGAATACTTTGAATCCGCAATCAACTTCAAATCTCCAGGCTATGGCTGTGGCTCACACAGCTGATTCACTGACCTTTCCACATCATACAGGTGCCAGATGGCTCTGTTGTGCTCAGGCTCCCTTTCATTTCCTCAACTGTACGTAATGAAAGTGGTGATGAACCATGAAATGACCGAGTAGCAAAGGAACTGGTTTCCTGGGGACCTTATAAACTATCATGATATCAAAAGTTGGTTCTTGGACTGGAGCCATAGTACATTGGGGAGGGTGCTTGCCTTGCATGTGTCCAACCCAGGTTCGATCCCTAGCATCCCATATGGTATGGGGGGGGAGCACTTCCAGGAGTGATTCCTGATCACAGAGCCAGGAGTCAGTCAGCACAGAGCCAGGAGACGCACCAGTTATGGCCCCAAAACAAATAAAAGTTGGTTGGTTGTTCAAGTCACGAAATTTACATACAAGTGGTACTACATGGAAAGTATCATGTTAAGCGAAATGACTCAGAAAGAAAGGGATAGACATAGAAAGATTGCATTCATCTGGGGAACATAAAGTAACAAAATAGGAAACTAACACCCAAGAATGGCCAATATTAGTACCAGGAATTTTACTCCATGGGTTGGAGGTCAACCACACATACTAAAGGAAAAGGGAGCTCAGATAGAGAAAGGAACACCAAATAAAGGTGTCGGGAGGATCCTCCCAGGATGGGAGAAGCATGCGGAAAGTAGACTATAGACTAAACATGACTGTCACCCATTGCCTCTTTTGCAAACCACAACACCCAGTAAGAGAGAGAGAACAAAAGGGAATGCCCTGCCACAGAGGCAGGGTGGGATGGGGGGTGGGAGGGATACTGGGATCCGTGGTGGTGGGAAATGGGCACCAGTGAAGGGATGAGTATTTGATCATTGTATAATTGAAACTCAAGCACAAAAATGTGTAGGTCTGCAACTGTACCTCATGATGTCTCACTGTCTTCATTTGGCACAACCATGAGTGGTGACATACAGATTGGCACTACAAACATGAATCTGGTCACCTTTCTTTGTCCATCTGATTTTACTTAGAGAAGTTCCATCTGGTTTTCATTTTTAGGTTTATTTATAAAGCTGGATATTGACAAATTTTGAAATAAAGGATCTTCTGGAGAATTCCACACCAGTCCACCTAAGACTTTTCCTCCTCTGGAAGAAGCTGCTGTTCCCGGCCCTGCTCTCCTCCGCTGTGGAGTCCCCCATCAGGTGAAGCTAAAAACAGCTCCGGGAGCTCCAGATGGAAGAAAGAACAATCACACTGAGACTTTTACCGCAAACTTGAATATGCCAGAAAACCGAAGGAGAGAATCGATCTGTGGGCACACATCTGTATGTATGTATGCACATGCTCATGCTACATAAATGACAAAGTTATGTTTGTTGTATCAAAACTTTTTTTCGGGGGTGGAGTGATAGCACAACAGATCGGGCCTTTGCCTTGCACGCGGCCGACCCGGGCTCGATTCTCAGCATCCCATATGGTCCCCTGAGCACTGCCAGGAGTAATTCCTGAGTGCAGAACCAGGAGTAATCCCTGCGCATTCCCAGGCAGGGTCTGAGGAAGACTGAGCAGACTCTGTGACCCAGTAAGAGCCTCCCTCACCCCTCTGTGAGCCCCTTGGAGGCTCCTGGCCTTGTGGATGCATCACTCGACCCTCCACTTGCATGTGGCATGGTCTGGCAAGTTTCCCATCATCTTCCCTCTGTATCGCTGGCCCCATTCCCCCTTTGATAAATCCAGGACCTACTCTAAGAACTTCAGTTTAGACTGATATCCTCTATAAAGACCCTATCCCCAAATTAAGTCATATAACTGGAAACATGAGGACTTGAAAATCACTCTTGTGGGGGACTCAGTTTAATGCATAACAAAACTTACAGCTGCCAGTGATATGGCTCAGTGGTAGAATATTTGTCTTACATGTGTGGAGCTGTGGATTCGGTTCCTAGCAACACACACACACACACACACACACACACACACACACACACACACTTTCTCACACATAAACCTTACGCCACTAAAAAATGCACTGAAAGACTAATGTTCTAGAACCTAGCTTCAGAAACTATGGGTTGTGACTCCCCTATCGGATCTTATAACGAAATGTGGGATTCGTGAAAAATAAAAAATAAAATGTTTTAAAAATAAGTTTGGGGACCAGAGTAACAGTATAGCAGGTAGGGCATTCGCCTTGCATGCAGCTGACCTGAGTTCTATTCCCAACACCTCATATGGTCCCCTAGACCCCATCAGGAGTGATTCCTGGGTGCAGAGCCAGGATAAAACCCTGATGAGCACTGCCGGGTATAGCCCAAAGATCAGAAAATTAATTAAAATGAAAGCTAGAACGTTTATAAGTTTCTTTATGAATGTTTACTTTGTATACCTGTTTTATACACCTGGACTTGCATAAATTTTCTCAGGCAAGAGAAAGTCATGCATGGGAAAAGTTAATGTTTAAGCCTGTTCTTAACAACAGGCTACTTTCCATAAATAGATGTCATCTGTTGTAGGCACCAGGTTAGATTTTTTGGGGCTTCAGTTTCTTCCTTTCTTTTCCCTGTGTTAACACATTTGTCCGAGCCATAGGAAATAGCGGATTTAGAAAATTACAATAGCAGGTATTGACAGTTTCCTGTGGCTCAACCTAATCACTTAGGAATACTCTCAAAGTGTTCTGCCCATTGCTTCCCACGGCCAGATCAGCTAGGTTTCCTGCCAGACTTGACCAGACTTCCTGGCCAGACCTTAGGAAGACTCACTCTTAGAAGTTCCATCTCCAAGGCCCACCTGCGTTTCCTAAGCTTCAAGAAAGATCTCAGCTGATGGGCCTCTGCAACAGTGAGACTTGCAAGCCCTCTCACTGAAGACCCCAACAGAGATTTGGGAAGAGTCAGGCACATCACAGGACAGAGGCCCTGAAGTTGCCTTCTCTGGCGATCAGCCTTCTTCTCCGCATCCTGAAATTACACAGACAGCTGTGTCTCCCAGTTTGCTTTCCACAGATACTAGGTTCAAATGTGTGTGCGTGTGTGTGTGTGTGTGTCCAAAATGTTAAATAAAGTAACATCCTTATATGGATGAAAAGAAAACAATTTGCTTTTCAAAGGTTAAAGCTTAGAGCTCCCTAGAATATGCAGCCCCCCGAGAATACAGCAAACTCCAGTTTATAGGGCAGTCTGACAGACAGGTAAGCCATTCTGCACCAAGGCTGATGGAGACTGGCACCATCAAAAAGAACAAGAACAACCAGTGCTGGTGTGGATGCGGGGAGAAAAGGACTCTCAGTTGCTGGTGGGAATGTTGAATGATCCAGCCGTTCTAGAAAACAATGTGGACATTCCTAAAAAAATGTAGGAATTAAGCTTCCAAGGCCTCAAAACAAAATGGAGAAAACACATTTGGACTCTACATCTCTTGCAGCACTGTACACAATAGTCAATGTATGAAAACAACACAAGTGTCTAAGAACGGACAAGTGGATAAAGATTGGTACACATGGGACTGGAGCAATAGCACAGCGGGTAGGGCGTTTGCCTTGCACGCAGCCAACATGGCCGACACAGGTTCAATTCCCAGCATCCCATATTATCCCCCGAGCACCGCCAGGAGTGATTCCTGAGTGCATCAGCCAGGAGTAACCCCTGAACATCGCCGGGTGTGACCCAAAAAGCAAAAAAAAAAAAAAAGATTGGTACACATACACAATGGAATATTATTCAGCCAGAGGAAAAGATAAGGTTATGCAATTTGCTGCAGTTTGGAGGGATCTGGAGAGTGTCATGCTGAGGTAGGTAAGTAGGAGGAGAGAACTGTTGCATGAATATTCGTTCAGTTGGAGGCGCTCAGACAAGGAACACGAAAGAAGTTTATGTCATGGAGGGCCCAGGTTCTCTCAGACCTGTGACAAAGGTAGAGAGCCCCGAAATCTCCATGTATTGATCATGGTACCTCTAAAGGGCGTGATACTGTGATGTCACCAAAAGAAGTTACAGAAAATATTGAGGCAGCAAAATATGTATTGTCTCCTTGTATCCGCAGGCTAGTGCATTTTGGCCTAAGAAAAGAGATACACAACCAAAACAGAAACCTTTCTTGGGCTAAAGTATTTGGGTTTGAATCCCAAAGACAAACTGGGCAAGCATTTGAGATTTGCATCCATCCCAAAGACTAGGTTGGGCCAGAGCCCGAAATCTCTATGTCAAAGTTCAGGCTGGGCATCTGTGAGAAAAGGAAAAACTGAGTCTTTCAGTATACTGAAATTTATGAAATTATTTACTGAAGGCAGTTTGAAGGGGGAAAATGTTCAGCTTCATCCACACCAGTCAGGACACACGAGAAATCTTGCCCATTTTCCTGGGTCCCTACATGGGCTCACCCTGATGGCTCAGTCAAGCCCCAACAGGGTACAGTGGGGGATGGACATTGGTGGAGAGAAGTGGACATCGGTGTTGATACTCTGTATGCTTGAAACCCAAACATGAATAACTGACTTCATGGTGACTACTTTATGTTAAAACTAACAGGGGCTGGGGAGGTACTGAGGGGCCAAGGAGCTTGTCCTTCACATACTGTGGCCCTCAGTTGGATCTCCAAGTACCACATAGGATCCCTGAGGACAGAACCAGGAGGGTCCCTGAACACTTCTGGGTGTGACCCAAAGAAAGGAGTAGTACAATTAAAATGAATTCATTAATGATTGGAAGGAACACTGGAAGTTGCCTATGTCTGACCCAACAGTCACAATCACAACCATCCTGTTACTTGTCGATTGCCTCGAACAGGCCCCAGTAACGTCTCCTTCATCCTAGCCCTGCCTGAGACTTTTAAAAAAAGTGCCATATTCAAGGCTCTTTCAGAGTTAGGAGAATGAGACCCTTCATTGTTACTGGTCTTTGGCATATTGGGTACGCCACGGGGAGTTTGCCAGACTCTGCCGTGTGGGCAGGCTACATTCGGTAGCCTGCCAGTTTGTCCAAAGTAGGCATGAGATGATAAGATGTCTGACCCAAAATGAAAATAATACATTTCAAACTTTGGGAGCACTCCCTGAGCAGGAAACATTCTAGGTGTGTGGAAATGCAGATGAGAGATTGACAGTTTGTCATCAGGTACTTTGATGGGTGGGCTTTTTCCCAGGTCTCCCCTTCCCTGGGGTACCACCAGAGGCAGGATATCATGGTCTGGGGCTGCCTCAGGGCTCACTAATAAAACAAATTTTTCTCTACAATTCCCCTGCTGACGTTCAAGTCAGCAGGCAAGAAGAGTTTACGTTGATCCACACCTGTTGAACCTCTTCTCCTTTTTAAAAATTTTATTTGGGCCTTTCAGCCCATGCAGGAGTGTGGAACACCGGCACTGGATGGGGAGGAAGCCGGCATTTGGAGAGCCCACTCTATTCTGCAGGCCCGCCAGGATCTCCCCTGAAATGCCCGAGCATCTCAGGACCTTACACGCCCATCTGAGTTCCTGCCAGGTGTGGGCCTTTGAAGCCCAAATTCCGGTTTCTTGGGTTAGTTGTCTATTCTTGCAGAAAAGGATTGCAGAAGAGTGCTGCAAATTACCTTTACTAGAAGATTAAGGCAAAGAGAGAACCTGTCAAGTAAAAGAAAAGAATTATGCCATGCGTTTGGAAGTAGGCAGCCCCTAATTGGAAGTCTGTACCATAAAATAAAAGAAAGCAGAGTAAGAGGCTCCCCAGTAGGGAGTGTGCCCACCTGCCTCCTCAAAGCTGTTTGTTTCTCTGGGGACAGGCGGGTACACACACAGTAGGCCTCTGGGCTTACTCCTAGCTCTGCACTCAGACATCACTCCTGATGGGACTCAGGGGACCATACCAGGTGCCGAGGATTGAACCCATTTTGGCTACATGCAAGGCAAAGGCCCTGCCCACTGTACTATCATTCCGGCCTCTTGCAAAGCTGCTTTTATTTTATTTTTTTACACCAGTTCCACCACTACTATGATTGTCCCTCCACTATTGTACCCAGTTTCCTGCCTGCCCCCGAGTAGGTACAAAATTGGGCATTTGCCTTGCATGTGACCGACCTGGGTTCGATTCCTCCGTCCCTCTCAGAGAGCCCGGCAAGCTACCGAGAGTATAGGCAAAGCCTGGCAAGCTACCCGTGACATATTCAATATGCCAAAAACAATAGCAAGTCTCACAATGGAGACATTACTGGTGCCCGCTCAAGCAAATCGATGAACAACGGGAGGACAGTGCAGTGCATTTTGATTATTTTGATTATTAAATGATCGATGGAATTATCAAAAAAAAAACACTTCAGGAGAAGAAAATTGGTGAGAATTGTTATATTTCACCATGAGTCTTTGAGGATTTACTAAGCCATTTATCGCTATTGAGCCTTCTGTGTCATTATTTTTGAGTTTAGTTGGCTTTTTTGCTGCTTTCCCA